ATTTTAATGATTGTTGAACTAGAGATGATATTAATTAAGCAAGCGTTAAGGGTTCAGACTGTAGGAACTGTTGTGAAGGTGAACAAAACATCAAATTGCGCAAGTTATTTCCTAATGAATTGTCTGTGGTTTATCCCTTCTTTGCTACCCACATCAAAGAAATCATGTTACTAGTTTCTTTAAAAGATTCAAGTAAACAAAGTCAATCACACTCCTGCAATTCGCGATCTTGTGGAAAAAGGCAGTGTTGAGGTCCACCAGTTTTAACCACTTTACTTTGGATTGTTGGTACGAGTAGGTTTCTTCTTGTTTGAGTCGAGATGGATACTCTATTTTTAAGTTGGACTCTCTGTTGCCTCTCCACTTCCACTAGAGCTCGGTTTTTTTCGGTGGCGTCCCAGTCCCGAATGGACCAAAGGAGGTCCTTGTGGGAGCGGAAGTTACCGGATAATTGTTTACTCCAGTCTTTTAGGGAAGCTTTAAGCATATGAATTTTTGTGCTGGAGGCAGTAACCAGCTCTGCCCGAGGTTTGAGAAGCGAAGGAATCCCACCACAAATGGACAAGGTGGGAGAATGAAGGCTCGTCAAACCAAGCTAAATCAAACCTAAAGGGTATAGGCCCTCAAGGCACTGACTTGGTATTTAAGAGGATGGGGCAGTGATCCGAGGTTGGTTTAGGTAGGGCCGAAGCGTGAGAACCTGGGAAAGTGGCATCCCACTCAGTGTAGAGTAGGAATTTTCCTAGTTTAGAAAGGGAAGGGGATGCCGAGTGGTTGGACCATGTTAAATTAGCTCCATCCAGACGGACTATAAGATTGTTTGGAGATGAAATCCTAGAAGATGAGCATGCCCGGGGTAATTCTAAAGAGAAAATTGCATTCAAATGACCACCTGGTGATGTTGAAGTCACCTCCAATGCACCACCTAGAGGTGGGGATCGTTGCTGAGGTCCAGTTCATTCCACAATTGTTCTTTGAGGTGGTCGGAATGGGGGCCATAATGGCCATGAACTTCCATGGGAGGCCGTCCGAGAATATTAATAGCACAACTGTTGCAGAGAATGATCCGATGTGAAACGAGGAGAGCGAATGGAGAGACGGACCCCATTATTGAGGGGTAGATAATTGACGTTGAATGCGGGAATATACATTATTGAGGGATGGTAGCTCATTGCTTGCTAAAATCTGTCCATGAACAGAATAGTACTTGGGTTTAAGACTTGATAAGAATTTAGCAACTTTTAATTCTTCCCACTACTTCCTCTGTAATTGCACATGGATATAGTCTGGTGCAGATTCAACTCTTCCCATATATCTCTAAGGGCACTATAATATTTACTAAAATTTTATTAACCTATCGCAATTGAAACATCTTCCCAAACAGTTAATATACCCAATAGATATTCTTATTTAGTGAAATGTCTCTTTTAGAGTGTCCTAAATTTATTTAGTAGTGTTGAGAAACACTACATTTGCACTTATTTGAGTTTCCATATTACTACACAACTTATTCATTATTATGTAATTCTCTCTATCCACCGCCTCCCATAACATGACACAAGGTCTAATCTGTGTTCTCCAAAGCAAAGATCTCCCTATAGTTGGAAGTTGATCGGGGGTTACATCCTTTCTAACTCTCCCTCCATATCTTGTATCATTTAAATTGCCACGTAGCACTAGGGGATACTTCAATAGATTGAACCCATACAATATGATTGGACTCATTTACTTTTACCAAGCTAATTTGTATCCCCACTTCTTTAGGAGGACTGAAGGTTCCGTGTTCAATTTCTTTAGCCTTGAGTGTATGGAATAGGGATAAATGTGGCAACAAGGGTCAACAAAGTACAATCACTCACCCCAAGCCTAGTTAATGCTAATAACAGCTTTAAAAGATAAAAAGAGAGATAATTATCATTCAAATATCAGCATACTCACTGCACTTGAACAAACTAGTGCAACATCATATTATCCAAATCTGGGCATCATCATATTGCTACTCTTTGAGTAGATTAGGCATCATCTATACGTACGAGAATTTTTGGATTTTAGAACTCGGGTGGATCATCCGCAGTCTCCCACAATCTATTGAACTCGATCTTTAACGAGGAATCAGAAAACAGCAACATCACAACACTAAACATCGACACACATAAGTTTCTGCACACAAAACCCTAGGAAACAACCTTAGGCTTTAGATCAAACAACCCTAGAAAGTAACCGCAGGTTTTCTCTCTCCCTCTCTCTCTCTCTCTTTCTCTCTCTCCTTTTTTTTTTTTTAATCACTCCACAAGAATCGATCCTAGGATTTCAGTAAAAATAACACATGCGGTAAAGACAAAAGAATACTTACAATAGAGGAGATAGAGAAAAAATGAAGAGCAAGATGGAAGAAAGGATCAATGCTCTGATACCATGTCACAGAGGAGAGAGAGAGAGAAAGAGTGAGAGAGAGAGAGAGAGATGGAAAGTGAAGAGAGAGTTAAAGAGAGTGATGCGAGAGTTCAACAGCTGTCATGTATCTCAAATATCTTCTTTTTAAATTAGTGAAATATGGAAAATGCAACATCAACCTAGGACAACACTGGTTAGGAGGGGCAATTTGGTTCAAGTGGAAGTCCTTCAAAGGACAAGAGGAAGCCCAAAATGATGTGGATGGAAGTAGTGAGAAGAGATATAGTGACTAGGTTTGACTTAGGATTTGGCCTTTATAGAGCGGAATGGCAGAACATGATTCATGTAATCGACTCCAAAAGTTGGGATAAGGCTTAGATGATGATGATGATCGCAATACTGCCCAAACAAACTGGAAATAAGCCTTTTAGGTCTTAATAACATAAATGAAGAGAAATGAAGATAAAGGGCAGATATAAACCCATCAATTATAATGGTTGGAATGTTCGATCCAATTATCTCAATTTGCAAATTTTGATAAATTGTACTGTTCCTTTTGTAATTCCCTCCCTCTCTTGATCAAATTGGGCTTCCATGTCACCCATTCTTTGACAACATGTTTTTCAGAGACCCAGTTAGGAAGAACACCTACTCAAAAACTGTCAAACGTTACGTGTAAAACTTCATGTTTCTAAAGGTCAAACACACCTTTTGAAACAAGTGGTTTGAGATTTGTAGGTTAGAAAGATAAGGCAACCTGAAACTTGAATTCAAAACAAGGGTAGAACTTGAGCAACACAAATTTGAAATGGTACTTCCCGAAAAAAATTTGAAAATTTTATTCTATAATGGTATGAGCTTACCACACAAATTTCAGCCTCAAATAAAATCTAGAAGTTATAGCACCTCTTTGTGTGTGACACCCCACCTAGAAAATGATAGCACATTGGGTGCTATAGAGTTTCGATCCTCTTTTGACTTTCATTTACCAGCCACATGCGTGAAAGACAATGTGATAATTTTTAAAAAGTTAAAAGTTTGCAGGAAAGGGGACTGACTCCTTGATTATCCTCTCTCTCTCTATCTATCTATCTATCAATCTCTCTCTCTCTCTCTCTCTCTCTCTCTCTA